GTTACCGTTTCTCGCGCCGCGTGCGTTTGACGCGTGTGAAATTGCCTCTATCTCCGTCTCTCTCTCTCTCTCTCTCTCTCTCTCTCTCTCTCTCTCTCTCTCTCTCTCTCTCTCTCTCTCTTTCTCCCCCCCCTTTCTTACTCTCTCCTCCTCTCTGTCGCTCTCTCCGCAGTTCTCTCTCTCTCTCGACCGGTTCGCGCAGCGCGGTGTTTACCGCTTCATCGTAAAATCCGAACGCCCCGCGACTGCAATCGCCCCGCGACTGCTCATCGATATGAAATGAATGCGCCGCGGTGCGTCTAATGAGAAACGAAAGGTGGAATCGCGAGAGGAGAGGAAGCGTCGCGTCTGCCCGCCCGTGTGCGATATTAAATACGTTACAATTGAAAATTGCATCATGTTCTCTTCGCGGCGGCCGGCTAATTACGGGACCGCGACTTCGTATCGCCCGTCAGGTACTTTCCACCGGCCGCGGTTTTACAGTTACGTGTCATCTGTTGCGAGGCGAAATCTCTATCTCACATTTATACTCCTCTCTTATGTATCCCTCGGTTCGTCGACTCGCTCGCGCGGCTCCTCCACGCGGTCAGGTGAGAGGTCGGTCGCTTCGGACATTCGGCTACCTTAACGGTCGAGTTTATATATAGACGTTAAATTCGGAATGTGTCCAATGGTCAATTTGTGTGCGTGTACACGGAAGAATAAGTCGCTGCTGTGAGATTAAATCTCATTGGCCGATCCGAACTCATTGTCGGCTGAAAGGCTGACCGTTTCCGTTGATCAGGTTTATACGTCTCCTCAATTTTTGCGTCAAGTTCGAGTTTCTACGTAGGCGTTATTTTCGGGATGTTCGGAGATTGATTTCCGTGCGTACTGACCGTTTCGATCAAGCTTACATGTTTAATCTCAAGTTTATATGTGGACGTTAAATTCGGGATGTTTAAAGGTCAATTCGAGGGCGCGCGTAGAAAAATAAATCATTATTATTAGCTAAATGTCAACGTGGCTGATGCAAACTCAATTAAAAGACAAATCATTACGATCATGTTTATATATTTAAGTTCAAGTTTGCACGCAGACGTTAAGTTTGGCAAGTTTGAAGGTCAATTTGTGCATGCACGCGGAGAAAAATAACTTGACATCACCAGCTAAATCTCATCAGAGCTGTTTTGGAAATAACTGAAAGGTTGACTCTTTCGCTGCCATGGAGACAAAAATTTGTCAACTGAAATTAGTGCAAATACGAGGGTAGTCCCAGAAGTACCTCACCTGACGTATAGATAGCGGTTGTTGTTTGAAAAGAATGACTATGGTAGAAAGTACTAACCTTATAAAGCTTAAGTTTGAAGTTTGACGACGCTACGTTGTTTAGTATTTGTTTGGCATCAATAGTGAACGCTCTCAGTGAATTTGTAAACATGGAAAAAATTGGTCATCGTTATGTGATACAATACTTTCATTTGAAAGGTAACTCAGTCCAACCAATATCAAAGCGGAGCTAGATTCTACTCTGGGGGAGTCTGCTCCTTTGTTTACAACAATAAAATATTGGGTGGCAGAGTTTAAACGAAGCCGTACGAGCTGCCAAGACGAACATCGCAGTGGTCTACCAAATGAGGTGACCACGCCAGAAATGGTGAAGAAAATCCACAAAATATGGTATTGGATGACCGTTGATTGAAAGTGTGGGAGTTAACAGACATGGCAGGCATTTCAAAAAGTGCTGTGCATCGCATATTGACTGAAAATTTGCACATGAGAAAGCTGTGCGCAAGATGGGTGCCGCGATTGGAACAAAAACAGCGTCGTGAGGATGTTTCAATCGAATGTTTGGCGAAGTTTCGCAGCAATAAAGCCGATTCATAACCATGGATGAAACATGGGTGCATCACATCACACCTGAGACGAAGGAACAGTCAAAACAACGGACCAAGGTGGCTTGATGGCTATTTTGAGGAGCTCGACGATTCCTACTGTAAACAGGGTATCGAAGTTATTGAACATCGCTGGGAAAAGTGTATTGAGCTGAAAGGAGACTATGTAGAGAAATAAAGATATTTTTTCCCAAATTTTTTGTGTTTTCTTTGTTAGGTCAGGTACTTCCGGGACTACCCTCGTAGCCAAGAAAAAGGTATGGTAGCTTAATAAACTAATAAATCGAGTTTCTGCGACGACGGCATTAGCTGTCTCCGTTTCAAATAAACGTTCATTAAAAAAGAAAAAAAAGTAAAGCAAGAAAAAGGAATGCCGTCGGTTACATCTTGGCTCCTTCTGCACGTGCAGAAGAAAAAGACCTTCCTCGATCGATCGGTGTGCCTCCGCTGTCACTTTTACACCGGACTCTGCTTTCTCATGGATCGCTTACGATTCGCTCATGTGAGTTTCGACACGGTCAGGTCACCGTTTCCGTTTTCGGCGGGAATAACAGCCTGCGACTCGGCACGACTCGCTTACGCACGGAGCATCGCCCAATGCTGCGCGAGAACTTTTATGTAATCCTCTCCTCCTCTCGCGTCTTCCCTCTCGCGCCCCGTCGAAGCCTAAGCTCCATGCATCTCGCGTGTGATTACCGCGCGACGCGAGGTGCATAATTGATCGTAACCATTGTTCGATGACGGCGGAATGCGACGTGTGATTGAGCAATCGCATTGTCCCGTCGTGTTTCTGCGTGCGCGGCGTACCTGCAGGCGGCCGAGAGACACCCTCTCGGACGTGTGGCATAGATTAAACTTTCTTTACCCGCGGTCGCGTCGTGAGATCAGATTGACTTTCTATCGAGCTCGGCTTTAACTCAATCGTATAAAATGCCCCACGGACGTGCGCGCATACGTGATTATGCCCGGCGTTTGCGTAGCGTTCTCTCTCCCGTGTGGAGGGAAATTACCGCAATAGACATCTAAAAGACGTCTCAAGGACGTGCAAAGGATTGCCGGGGCCCTTAAGCTTCGGCTCTGGATAGAAAATGAGTAGAGAGAGAGAGAGAGAGAGAGAGAGAGAGAGAGATAGAGAGAGAGGGAGGGAGAGAGAGCGAGAGAGAGAGAGAAATCCAGCGGGAGTATAATCAAGTGAGGCACAATGTAACTTTAACAAATTGACGTTTCTAGGCAAGATTATTACGCGAGATCTGCTCGTAGAGGTCTCGAATGTTTTGTTAATTCTTGCGTAAAGTGTTTGATTGAATTTTGCGAATTCATGATGATGAAATTGCGAAAGGAGAAATCGGTCCGAAATTGGGGAAGATCGAGATTGTTGAGTTGAATAATGTCGATCAGATTAGCCTGGAGATACGGTATTTTTATTGTTTGACACGATTTCAACAGATATTCAATAGCGGGAATCCATGTATTTGTTCGCTATCTCATTATCCGCGGTACTTTCGTTAGAGAGAACTTTCCGTGGCGGAACGCTTGGCCGCACCTCGCGAGTTACCAGCGACATAATTAGCCGCGTGAAAGTACACCATTTCCATACATGAATATCAGTTTGTCACGCGATGTTTCGGCGGTATCCTGTAACGTGGACGAACACCGCCAAAGGTAACGTCGTTCTTTAGACGTTTTCCGTGCCGGTGGCTGCGACTTTCTTCGGTCGGCTAATTTTCGGATCTTCGACGGTCAAAATCACGGTATGATCGTCTAGCTGTAGAAACGTACGAGAGAAGATAAAAAACCTCAGCAACTTCGCGCAACTGAAAGGAAATATGACGTCAGCTTCGTGACGAGAAGCGATATCTTCCGTGACCGAAAACATTTGTTTGATTTAAATTGTATCAAAACTCGAGCTCATCGAGAGCGACCTGAAATCTCAAGATTGCTCTATTTGGAGATTTCGAAAACAGATAAAACCGTATCGATTAGAAGCAAAATTATTTCGAAATACTTATTTCACTGATAAACGAGCATAATCGTCTCTCAGCTTGAGCCGGCAAAAAGCTGCGGTTAAAAATACTGGTTTATCGATCGTCGAATTTTTGAATGAGATCTAAGGTTCGTTTTCTGCTGGTGAACCGGCTGCACTACTTTGCGCTACTTCTCTTCTCCTCTTTTTTTCCAACAAGTCTCAACTGTATACCTGTCTCCTTTCCGGAAGTATAGTGCTGGTTCAGCAACAGAAAACAAACCTCTAGATCGCTGCAAACGTGTTTGCTAAGTCGATCCTGCCGCGAACTTCAGCTGTTTTGCGGACAACTTGAATTTAAAGCGTCACATTTATCTCGTACCCGACTAGTCAGTCGGTTACCCGAATAGTGTCAGATCCGAATGAAGATTGCAGTTTTAAGTAGAAACCTCCTTAAAACCTTAAAAATCTTTCCGTTTCTACGGAGATAACTGAGAATTTTCACCTGCTTCCCGGCCGAAGGAAAATTCAGTTACACCAACGGAGTAATTGTTTTTTTCCGCGCGCTTTGCCAAAATTTCGGGAATACTTAGGGTATCTTCGTCACGGTCTCACGTCAAAGCTGCACATCGCGAATAGCCGGAAAGCCGGAAAGAGAAGAAGGTTGTTCTCGAGATGTTTCGAACAACGACAATCGCATTCTCGATCCTATTCTTGTGTTTGCCGATGCGAAGAGCGAAGTGAACCTGTATATTACGTTCTCCTCGATCTCGCGATAACGATCGCCGCTGTTTAATTATCACGCGCGCCCAAGGTTTATATCGCGGAACAATTACAACTCCAGTCGATGCAGTTATCGTCGTCGCAGCTCGCGAGTCTTGCATCGCATTAATTTTACGATCAAATTGATCGCCGTCATTTCCGGCTACGTAACGGATCACGGCAATGTACGTCAATTAATGATCGCGCGAGTCGTTTCATAATTTAACAACCTACCGAAGTCGAACGTGTTCGCTCGCGTCGTTGAATGAAAATTTAGACCGCGCCATCCGGAGGAAATTTTTTCCTCGGCCGTTCCGCGCATCATCACGCATAGGTCGTCGGGTCGGACGAGATCGCGGACGCTCGGCGTTCGTACATTGCAAATCGTGATACTCTCTCACCGTTTCTGACACGTGGGCTCCAGGTTGACGGTTGTTCTCGTGTTCACGGCTGCGGCGGATTGCGGCACCCCGAAGCGGTCCCGAAGTTGTCGCGGTCGCGAAAACTTGTCACTGTCTAGGTCTAGATAGCACCCCGGCCAAGTTCCCGCGAACAGCTCCAGCTCTCCTTTTCTCTCTCTCTCTCTCTCTCTCTCTCTCTCCCTTTTTCTCTTTTTCTCTCTCCTCTCGGTGTTCACGCACTTGACCACGTGGTTGCGTTCACGTGTCTACTCTGCGAAAGACAAAAGTTGGCGCGAGCCGCGCGCGCGCCACCGCGGCTTTCGTCGGACTGCGTGCGCTCTCGGCCGCTCCGCTGATCCTGCTACCTCCACCAGTACCACCACCACCACCGGCAACAGCGGCACCAGCACCAGCTCCACCAGCGCCACATCAACATCAGCATCAGCACCACTACCACCACCGCCACTACCGCCAACACCACCCACCCAGCGTGAGCGGTACCGCCGCCGCCGCCGTCGACATTGTCCTCGTCCTTCTCGCCAACCTACATCGACTCGTCTTTGTTCCACCAGCTCGCGGCGTTTCGGCAAGCGCCTCGAGCTTGCGACGATTCTCTCCACTCTTGGGACTGCGCTGCATCCACCGCCGCCGCCGCCGCCGCTCGTGGGTTTCAATCCCTCTTCGATCGTGCACTTTGACCATTTGCGCAGGAGGATATAGCGATTGTTCCTGTTACGTTTATCATTTCTCTATGGGCTTTCGAGCGCCATTCTATGCGCGAGCGAAGAATGGGTTAATCGCTCACCGTATTTGAAGTCTGTCGCGGTGCCGGCTACACTTCGCGCCTGGGTTCGCCGCTGGTCTGCGTTTAATCCGACGCGTCGTGTGACTCAGAATTGCCTCTCCGAAAAGTCTCCGGATGTGTATTGAATGTTCCGCTATTAATACGCGACTCGACGTCCGAACGTTGTAAGATAAGCGGGTCGATCGGATACTTAGACGGCGGACATTAACCGCTCGATTTTTAATCAATTGCTTTCGGATGTATCTTAATTGATCGCGTAACGAACTAAACCACGGTTGGCTTGGGAAATAGAAAGTGAGATCTTTTTTTTTTACACTGATTATTCCAAAGCTCTTGGATTCTTGGACTGTTCTGATTGCAGAATTTTCGATTACGTATCCAATAATTTCGAGAGAAACGCCATCAGGCATAAAAGAGATAACATAAATGAATAATTATGTATTCCCAATTTGTGTTGATTCCCATATAAGGTCTAATGATGTTTTTCCTAGAAATTTTTGGATATGTGAGTGAAATTGGAACAGGACATTTTCTGACTCTATATCTGCAATTTATAACATATTTATAATTATAATTGTAAGATAAATCTTACAAATTATAATTCTGTCACAGATAAAATTTATTAGGTAATCAAGAAAGTTCGTTTTAACATACGCTTTAATGTATGCAAAACTTTAAATAATTAATTTGCGCAAGTGTTATATACCTCTGTTGAATAACCTTTCGTTTAAGCGTACATAACCACGTTTTTAATTGATAGTGCGCGCATGTGCAGTTTGACAATGATAGAACCTAGAGATGGCACGAACTTTTTTGATTACCTAATATAATTACATGTGACTGTAATTATATAATTAAAGAATTTATGATACGAATGAATTCTATTTATAATTTTTAGTATATTCCAAATTACACAGCGTATTTAAAAAAAGATTTTTAAATCAATGAAAATCGCTAGAGGGAGAGCGTCTTGCATTGAGTTTCTTCCTTTAATCGCATCGACGGAGGCTCGAAATGTTATGTCCTAGGGGTAACGTTTGCTCGTCCACGTTAGATGTCACCGAGTGACTCGCACGAGCCGGATTAGTTGCGTCATTTCTAGCCGCACAATTCGACAACAATATATCACACGTAATAGAATTAACAACGTAACGCACCGTTGCGTAACGCGAAGTGACTTTCCGAGAAGGATATTTTGATAAATGTCACGTCAGTGTGCGTTTATGAAAAAGCGACGGCTCTCCTCAAGCGTCAATTAGAATTCTAGTTGTCAGCGATTTACAATTACGGTGTACGTTACGTAAGTATCGGAATAGAATAGATAAATATTCGAAGCTGGAGAAGAGAGAAAGAGAGGAAAGAGTCTCTTGATCGTATAATGTGACCTTTACAATCGACACGCGATTCCACTCGCACCATTGGCTCCCTCCTCCCCCCCATTAGAGTCTCATTGCGAACGTTCGAGCGACTAATATGCATCTTCGCCCTAAGGGCGATAATAAGTTCGATCTCTCGAGAGTGAGCGGCAGCATCGCGACGACGAAACGACAGCGTAATTTCGAGGAAGACGACGATAAGACGGAAACGGATCACTCGACGCGTATCTCTTTCGCCTTTCGGGTCAGTTTCTCGCGCGAGTTTGATGCGTGACTTATAGCGCAGAGCGAATTAATAATCCGTTAACCGCGAGAGCGCGCGGCGCGTTCAACGCGGATTGAGATATTCGCGGGCACAGGAGCAAGTAAAATTTTAAGTGACTCGATTAAGCCTTGTCGCGGTTAATTTACGACGTCGTTACTTCACGCCGACTAATACGGAAATAATAAATCCCCGGCAATGTGCCCGTAATTGCGCAACGCGCATTTCTGCCTCGTTCGTCGTTAATTTCTCAGGAAGAAAAAAAGTCTCGCGCGCGTTCCGCTCTCCACGGCTGAGAGATTCACGCGGTCGAATCGATCTCGAGCGATTCGTTCGCGTCGACTTTTTTCCCGCCAGGTTATCACGCTTTCGAGCTGATCGCCCGGTAAGCGCGCGAGATATGAAAAACTGAAGACGTCGAGACACGAGTGGAAGGGAGAAAAGACGGTGCTGAAACCGAGGCTCTCAGACATGCAATTGTTAGGGATTAATACAGGCGAGGAAGAAACGTCCTAAGATGTCGGTGGCAAATAATTTCTCTCTCGGGGAAATGATAACGTCCGAGTCGACATTTTCGATCTGAATTGTCTGTCATTTGCATAGTCACTTACGCTGATCACGCGGGCAAAATCGATTCTCAGTGATGGAGGAAAGAAGCGGACGCGCTTGCGCTCTCGCGCGTCCGCTTGTTTTCCGCGCTTCCGAGAGCGCGTCGCCGCGCCGCGCCGCGCCGCGGCCGTGGCGTTTCGAAAAATTGCCGCGCTTCCGCGTGCTTCGTGCCGGCAAGAACAGCTGGGTGCGCTCTTCTTTTTTTCGGGGTTGTCTCTCTCTCTCTCTCTCTCTCTCTCTCTCTCTCTCTCTCTCTCTCGCTGTCTCCCTCCGTGTCTCCGGTATCCCTTTCTGCCCCGGCCCGGAGATTTCGTCCTCGTAAAACTACAATTGGTACCTCGTCCGTGCGCGATTGGCCATCGGCCATCGAGAATAATGGAGCAGTTGGCGAGAGCCGATATATAAGGGGAACCGAGCGCGAGGCTCTCGGGCCTCGGTCTCTCTGTCGTATTGGAGGTGCCCCGGGGCGAAAACGGCCACGGCCGACAACATCGTTCCAGAATGCCGCGGGCACTTCCAAACCCACCGGACGATGTTGCTCGCATACGTAAACGCCAACTTCGTCAGGGACAAAGTGACGCTCGGTATACGTTGATCCGGCCGGGTCCCGCCGAGGTGAGGCGCGGCGCGGCGCGGCGCGGCGCAGCGCGGCGAGAGGGGCGCGACTTTGCCATTTCGAGGCTCATTTTAACGTTTCGCCCGGTTCGTCGTACATTCGCGACTCGTCGTTCCGTTCGCCGTCGGGTTTTAGGCGTGTGCCCGCCAGGCAATTACGGGACGTTTCGAGTCGCCGGGGACGGCGCGATTCCACGCTTCTGGAAAACACGCCGCTCGCGGCAGCCACGCGTTTCGATTGCTCCTTCTCTTTTTCTTTGTCTCTCCTCTCCTCTCTCTTTCCCTTTGTGGCTTGTGCTCGGTCTCTCTGTCTGCCGCGCGATGTAATTATTACGCCCGCGCGTTGCGCTACATCGTGACACGGACGAGTGTCGAATTGGTAATTTTCGAGGGAGCCGGGAAAGAGAAGCGGAACGCGACCGGCGACTTTTCGACATTTTCGGCCGATTCAAACGGACAAACTGGGGCAACCGCAAGGCAAGATCCGAGGAGTTTTTCCAGCGTGATCGACGGTATTACCTACCGATTTTCATGAGCGAGAGCGCGAAAAGACGGACGGGGGCTGATCCGCGGATGGTATCCGTCATCTTTCAGTCAGACGGATAGACCGATCGATCTTTCTCCGGCGAGCGTAACGCGTTGCGCTGAATTTTAGCATGACGACGAAGAAGCAGCCGCTCATGACTCCTCTCCTCTCGCGTCCGGTCAGCGGCTGATTCGGTGTCGTTAGCTTTTCTTGAGATTAATTCACAACTCAAAGCTCGGGCGCTCTCGTTTTCTCGCGCCGCGACGTCGTCGCATTCGTGTAACATTCCGTTTATCGACGGGCGCGTCAATTTACGTCCGATGTTTTGACCGCCGCTGTCATGCGTGGCTGCACTCGATCAGCGGTTACCGTCCCCGCAGAGAAATATTTATTGAAAAATAATTCACTTAGAAATACTTGTGAGCATGAATATTTGATATATGACATATTGTAATGATTATTAATATGTTGTAAATAACATTAATATCATTAATACATTATAAGTGACATTAATGTTATTAATATATTGTAGATAATAATAATGTTATTAATGTATTACAAATAGCAATATTCGTTGACAACAGCAATCTGCTTTTTAAATTTCTTGAAGTGAAATCTCACCCAAAAAGTGGAGGGATGACCCGAGAGTTGCCCGAATTCGATTGACTTTATAATGATTGATTTATGATTCACAGGTGAAAAATCACTAGCATAAATCGCAAGTACATTCATCATTCTGAATCATCAGATGAATATCTCCGATTAAAGAATAAGCCCGATGAATTCTATCGTTATGCAAGGCCCAATTTATTTTAGTCAATTGAAATATTCATCCGTCTGGCTAAAGAATCTACTCTAAGCTCGAGTTAATCGAAATGGCGATATTTTCACCATCGACTCGACACGAAGATTCCCCTCAGCTTCGAGTGAGATTCCACACCAAGAAATTCAGAGAGTATATTGCTGCAACATAGTATAGCGGATGCATAAAGGGGTAGATTTGTAGATTTACGTACAAGAAGGATGGATGTTTGTCTCTTTAAACACACCTAAGTTTTCGAGACCCGCCGACGGCGGCCGGCGCGGCGGATGGAAATTGTTTCGCTGCAAGTTCAACCGTGAAAAAGTGTCAAGTTAGAATCTCTCTACGTGTCGCTTCAGCGTGATCGCAGCGTCGCGACGAC